ACAAAATCAATAGTGCTTTATCAAATCCGATAAAACGACCAATAATAACATGAATTGTGAAAAAATATAATAATTTTCAACACGTACCGTGTGTTGTCTTTCAAGAAATGGATGTGACGAGGACAACCTTAACTTAAACATTGTATTAAGAAATGAATTAAAATACAACTATGATTGGGAGTTAAGATTTTAATTATGAATTATGACATTTAACCTAATTTCACAATTAATCGAATCAGTCAATTAAATCTTAATTTAATTGATACCTGTAAAACATTCTAGAATCAAATACGTTTTCAAATAAAATAATATTTGATTAAAAGATTAAGAAACATTATAATATAAACCATAACCAAACCATCTTTTAGAGTGCAACAAAAATGGGCTTTATTGTAGGATCCAGTTTACTGGTTTTTCTGGCCCTATTAGGGGTGTTCAAAATTCGGTTTTAACCGAATTAACCGACCGAACCGAATTAGTTCGGTTAATTCGGTCGGCCACCGAATTAATTCGGTCGGGGAACGGTTAATGATTTTTTTAGAATTCGGTTAACGGTTAATTCGGCTCAAAATCGATTAATTAACCGAATTAATCTTTAAATATAATTATATTAAGAGGCCCAATCCATTTAAAATCCATTTAAAACCCAAATCAATATTAATTAATTAAAATAATATCAAAATTAAATGCAAAATGTTTGAATCAAATTAATTAGATATTATTTATAATTATATATTATTTAAATTAATTGTAAATTGTTTTTTAATTAAAAAAATATTAAATTCTAAAATTCTAAAAAATTTCGGTTAATTCGAAAATTAACCGAATTAACCGAAATTTATTTGGTTCAGTTAATATTTTCGAAAAAAAGTTCAGTTCGGTTAAGGGTTAAAGAAAAAAAAGTTCGGTTAATTTGAAAATGATAGTTCGGTCGGTTCGGCCACCGAATTAACCGAATGAACACCCCTAGGCCCAATACCTCAGATGGATCAATTAATTGGCCCAGTAGGCTATGCCCAAATTTATTTTGCAATCTACGACAATTGCTACAGTAACGAACAAACACGTCACTTCAACGTGACGGGTTTGCTTGGACATGATGTAGATTAATATTTTAATATATTCAGTGAAACTTATCTCGTCGACGTAATGAGCCATTAGAAATTAATTTTTTAAAATTTAAAAGAAAAAAATTAAAAAAACTGTAAAACTGGTCACGTCGAGGTGACGAGTTTACCTTAAAATTTAAAAAAATTAGTCATTGTGCAATGGGCAGCTTTTGAAATTAAAAAAATTAACCGTTAAAACTCATCACATCGACTTGATGAGTTTTTATCAAATATAATTTAAAAAAACATTAATTAAAAACAATATTTACAAATTTAAATAAATACAAAATAATAATAAAAGAGTTATTACGAACTACAATGAATGATAAAATTTATTTATGTTTTCTTAGTTCTTGATGATGTTGAGGAGTAGTTGAATGATAATTGAGCGAGGCTCGTCGATTTCGTCGGGGTCGTCCACCTTGATTGCTTTCGTCTTTATCTTCGTTTGTTTCTTGAAGAGGAGGTGTACTGAACATCACTCCACTTTGAGATCCACCTTCGAAATCGACGATGAGCTTGTGGTATTTGACATCATCATTGTCGTCATTGACTCGAGTTGGCTACCTTGTTGATTATATATAATATAATCCCATTCACTGCATATTCGATTGAAGATGTTTAAGTGTTTTGCATTGCATCCCATTAACCTCCAACCCAATTCAATTGACTATCCGTTGAAACATGATATAGATGATAAAAACCAAAACTGGTTTAAGATACAAAATATTCGGTAGAAGCATAACCAGAAGACGAAGATGTTGATGATGATTTATTGACATTTCCTTGTTCTCATTTTTATCTCTCTTTTGATGTCGTTAAATATGAATTCTCATTTGCTTCATAATTTCGGAGGTAGGGAGAGATGTCGAAATCAAGGTCAGCGAGTGTAATATCGTAACGCATAGGGACCGATAAATGACGCTGATTTCATGCTCAATGTAAACAACATGGACCTCTGATGGTGGCAACTTTCCTAAAACTTGGTGAACAATTCTGAACCAGTTGAAATCGTTTTGCCTCACTAGTGTCGCGCCGTTAACGGAAACACCAAGTTGGTAAGCGACATCTTCCAACGTAGTTGTCGCTTCACCACTCAAAAATGAAAAGTATGCGTCTTGGGCCTACAACGTTCAATAAGAGCCGAAACCAATGTTGGTTCACCTTAAAATCACGTAAAAATGTGGCTAGATACAACCCGAATTGTTACAGATATATAATATTCCGCTGATGTAAATTTCTTATTGTCATTCCTCACTGACGAATTTCCAGTTCTTGTTTCGGACCGAGCTCAAGGGAAGAAATATGGATATGATCGAGGCATAACATTTCATCTCAGGTATACATTTTTCGGAAAATTTTAGAATATACAAATTTCTCTCAATTTTTCTTAACAAAAACAATAAAAACCCTATGGCCCAAACCTTTATGTATAACCAGGGACGGAGCCATAATTAAAAATTGGCAGGGGTCGAAATATTAGACTATTTAAGAAGAATATAAAGACTCATTAGGTATTTAAACTTGAAATTCAGCATGAAACAAGCGACCTTAGTAATTAAGGAATTGTTGTTATCCTTGAGGTCCTGAGTTCAAGCACATATATAGGGGTATGAGCGTTCATTGTCAAATAGTTGAAAGTTTTTGTATATATATTACATTGTATTCACTCTAAATTTAAAAAACAAATTCAAAACTCAAAAGACAACTTCTAATTTGCTAATATTTAAACTTACAATGATTTAAATTGTAATTAGACCAAAAAATTGAGAACACAAACTTATCATTCTTTAGTTCGACCCTTACTTGATTAAATATTTAATAAATTTTTATTTTTTGAATTTAAATATTTATTTTTACATAAACTAAAATAGTATTAAACCAAAATTATTTCAAATATATAAATTTTAATAGGCCTCATTGGGCTCTAAGGAAGCTTCGTTTCTGTTTATAACCCAAAAACCATAAATGACTAATTTTTTTTCAAAAGTCTCCCTAAATTTGTCTCTTGAGGTGACTAGTTCCATGCTGAACTTTGAAACATGACTGTTGTAATTGCTTGTTGCACAACGGCTATAAACGATTAGTTTTTTTAATTCAAGGCAAACCCATCATCTCGACGTGACAGATTTTGTAATTTTTTTATAAAAAAATTTATTTTCTAAAATATTTAATGATTTTAAAAAAAAATCTTATTGGACTCGTCACATCAATTTGATGAGTCCCACTAAATATATTAATCCACATGAGACCCATTTACCCGAGTCCTATTAAAAAATATTTCTAGTCAAACTCGTCACGTCGAAGTAAGAAATTTATATATTACTGTAACATTTTTCGTAGATTGCAAAATAACACGGACATGATCTACTAACCAAATGATTTATCCACCTGGAATATAGGGGCAAAAAACCTCTATAATGTCATGTACGGGGCCATCTTGAAATGAATCAATTGTAACAGGCCTGGACTGTAACCCAAAGATCAACTCCGGTCAGTCCAGATAACATAGAGTACGCATTTCAATTTTTTTTTAATAGTTTAAAATGATTATAATGTGATATCTATTTATAATATTTTTTAATATTGGTGACATGTATCTTATTATAATATTTTGAACTTAAAATTTATAAAAAAAAATATTCTATAATTATTAAGATCACTTGAATTTTTATATAACTCTATCTTTATTAAGGTACTTGGCTAAATCAATTTTTTCTCTTAATTTTAGAATATACGAAGTGTTCAAATAATTTTATTGAATGTCGTAATCTTAATTACATAAAAATCTACGAACTTACAAAAGACATTGTTTTTTCAAAATATATCATATGTATACATAACTTTGTACGTCTAAAACTAGTTCAGATTGAGACTAATATGCTACCGAAGTCGAGAATTCATTCATCTCCTGTTATAGTATAAAAATAATGAAACCTTATTGTAAATTCATTAATATTACTTCGTAGAATAGTGTTCCTAATAAGTTTAAAACTCGTGATATAAGATAATATAAAGAAATAAAGATGATCAATTTAGTCAACCGACCAAATTTGTTTGTTCAATTCTACCGTTATTTTTAAAAATACAAGAAGTACCTCAAAAAATATTTATAGATACAATAAAGTTATTCAAGGACAACGTGTTAAAAAAATAACAACAAAAAAAATTATAAATATTTTTGATAAAAGTGTAAAAATATTATAAATTTTTTTTGATAAAAGTGTTCAAAAACTATAAATATGTTTTATTTAGAGATTCTTAATTATTTAACATTAAATATTTAAATACCTTATAATTTTTATTACTCGAATTTAAAACATTTAAAATATCAATGAGTCATTTAATTACGGAGGTAATTCATATATTTAATCATTGTTTTCAATTAGCTTTAGGTAAAAATGACGACTATGTATTAGGGATGGGTATGGGACTCGAACCCAACGAGTTTCACCCGATCGGGTAGTTTTTTTTTTAATTTGGGTTTAGGTCGGGTCGGGTTTAGGGTGAAAATATCTGACCCGACACAAAAATATAATTTTATTTTATATATTTAGGAATAATTACAATATTATTTTTCTATATATTAATTTTTTAATTAAGTCACTATTTTTATTGAATAAAAATAATATTTTTTTATTATTTCGAATGGGATCAGATCAAATTTAGATTTTATCTCAAAAAATAAGTCGGATGGAGGATATAAATTTTTTGGGTTAAGTGGAATGAAGGACATAAATTTTTGAATCGGATCAGATCGACCGAAATCCGACCAAACCCGACACATGACCATCGCTGCTTTGTATGTAGCTTACCAAAAATAATGTAGTATATCATATGGTTTCCTGAAATTTATTTTAAAAAATCCGTGAGCCCCCTCCTCCGGCTTTCTCCACTTCTGCTACCTTCAAGTTTCCGACACACGGGGAAATTAAATAAGGTAATTTATGAAACCCTAAAATTAACTCGAAGATTGATTTCTAGTTGTGCCATGAGATTTTCGCATAATCTGTACTTTGCATATGCATCACTCCGCTATATTTGATTTCTGTTTTCGATTCTACTGCTTAGTTACTCTGTCTCATCTATACTCTATGTTTTGGAGGATTTTTTCTTAAAGCTTTCGGTATAGCAGTCCTAGTAAAAATATCGCCTATTTTCCGTTACTCTTCTATTTGCGGCCGCTGTTGGTGTGAAATTTTATTATCACCGCTATTTAGGTTCTTCAGCGGTGGCGGATGGCGCCTCTAGTGTGAATAGCGGCCGACACCGCTATTTGAAACCCTAACTAGTTGTAAAGATAACGGATGGAGATGCAGTACGTTCACAGTCTATACGAGAGACGGCCTCTTCTCAAATCTAAGGCTCCTGCTGTTAAATGGTTCAAAAGATGGTAAATTAGACCTCCTTTTGTTATCAAACTTTTTAGTGCTTTCTGCTATTACTATTATTTTGTAAAATTGGATGTCTTAACCAATATTTGGACATGATTTAGTGATCAAATTCTTGCTTTGTATTATGGACAATGCCAATGATGTGACCCAAAGTTTTGTTTAGGGTACCTCAAGATGTTGTTGCAACGGGTGGAAAGTGCATGGTTTTGAAATGGGTAAATGGTGAGTTTCAATGCTCTTTTCTATATGTTTTTCTCTTATTTGCTACTTATTTGTAATTTTTACCTGATTTCTTTCTCTTTTGCAACGGGAAAGTATACAGTTCCTATACAAAGCGTTATGACTTGTTTAGATTTGGAATAGAAACAGATATATCGTATCTATAAGGTCGTTTAGAGAAATTGGAGGTTTGCTTTTCATATCATGTTTAAGTGTGCTTGTGAGGGCTTCAATCCTAATCTTTTTACAGTCTTTGTTTGGTGATAGAAATTTGTCTTTGTTCTGCCTTTTTCTTACGAGGCTCCCTTAACTTTATTTTCATTACATCATAGGTTTGAAGAATAACATATCTCGTATCATATGTTTGGTGTTTATGTTTTATTTTTAGTAATAGATTATGTGGATAATTTCAGGGCCTTAGAGAGGAGGGGCGAAGTGATTATCCCATAGTGGAATTTTGTTGTCATATTCTTCTTCATGTTTTGTCCTACCTAACCTTTCTTACCGAATTTGTTTTGTTTAGAGCACACCTTGGAGGCATTGAATGAAAGGGAGAAAGAGCAGGATGCACCAGAACCTGAACCAGAGCCTACCACTGAAGTTCTTTTCCTTTGCAGCTATGAAGGCTGTGGAAAGACGTTTATCGATGCTGGTGCTTTGAGAAAGCATTCTCACATTCATGGAGAGAGACAATATGTTTGTCACTACGAGGGTTGTGGGAAGGTATCTTGCTTAAAATTTCTATTTCTGATGTACGATGCTTTCAGATTGATTTTATGACAGTTCCTCTAAGAATCACTGTTATAATGAAGCAATTTTGATTTACAACTCGCTTGGGAACTATGGAAATGCTTAATTTCACCTTGGAAGTGTTACATTGGTGTCTGTTTCTCTCTGCGTGTGTGCTTTTGGCATAAAAATATAGTTTCTCTTTGGTGGTTGTTAATATGGTATACTGTTTGTTAATAACGCAGAAACTTTTGGATAGTTCAAAATTGAAAAGACACTTCCTCATTCACACTGGAGAGAGACCTTTTGTATGCCCACATGAAGGTTGTGGTAAGGTGGTGAATCTATCTTATGCTGTTAGTCTTTTTCTTGCTAATTTATCTACTATATGCATATACATATAGTTTGAACACTTGTTTTGTGTATAATTGTCTCTTAATGTAAAGTCGTGAATTGGTCTTTTATAGCAGATGCAGGGGACAATGAACTTTTATTTTATACCATAATGAAACTTGGTGAAATTGCCAAGTAGAGCATTTGTGATTTTTTAGATGTAAATTTGCGTAGTGTCTGGGGATAAGGTTTTCAGCAACCGTTGTTTTTGCTTTAGAGACTTCCTGTATTAAATTGCTTTTATGGGCATGGGCATATATACGTAACATGTTTGTGTTGTATATTTGTTCATAGTTCTAATGGATTTGATTGTGGGAATGACAGGCATTCTCTTTGGATTTCAATCTGAGGTCACACATGAAAACACATTCACAAGAAAACTATCATATCTGTCCATACCCAGATTGTGGAAAGAGATATGCTCATGAGTACAAGCTAAAGAACCACATTGCACAACACCATGAAAAGGTTTGCGACGTTGCTGTCATTACATGTGCCTGTTTTATATAACATGACATATATGCCGTCTTGTTAACCTTGAGATATTCACCTTTGCATTTGGTAGATACCAACACCGGAAGTGGCAAAATACGTCCCGCCTGTAGATAAAGTAATTAAAACACCAAAGTCTGCTGGCAGTGCCTATGGTTCTGCATCATCTGATCGCCCTTATGCTTGCCCTTATGAAGGTTGTGAAAAAGCTTACATACATGAATACAAACTAAAACTCCATTTAAGGAGAGAGCATCCGGGTCACATGTCAGATGAGACTGCCGAGAACGCCACACCTAATGCCAACAACGAGATGGATGAAGGCAGTGATCATGATGCTTATGCCGGAAAGCGAGTGAATGGGAAAAGTCAGAAACAAAGTAGGGCCAAGCCAAACGTGAAGATGCCTCCTGCAAAGATTGCTAGGCAGAAAGGCACGAGTCCTTCCCCTGCCACTTTGCCCATGCCCAAAAAACAATGGCCAGTTAAAGAACAAGTATTTGAGGAAGAAGATAGCGAAGAAACCGAAGAAGAACGTGAAAATGTAGAGGATGGATGGAGGTATTGGGAAAACAGCGAAGAGGATGACGAAGAGACGGAATATGAAGATTAGAGCAGACAAACATACCAGTGAATAAATGTAGTGCTGGGTATTTAGCATCCCTTCCCCTCATTGGTCCCTTTCTGTCTCAGGAAGGTGTATGTATACATCTGCGTTATGTTGGGGAAAGATAATCATTCCGGCACCTTCCTTTTTTGCTTAAATATCAAACAATGAGCTAAGTTTCTTTTGTTTTGAATCCCTGTGTTCGATCAAGAAGTGCTCTAACATACTGAACTACAAACAGTCATTACATAAACTTGTCATCCGTGCAGAGTTCGTCGATGGCATGATTCTGAATTTGGTTTGAGAGTTGGGGCAATTTCTGGGCCCAAAGTCAAATGATACCCTTCAACCGAATTTCTTGTATGGGCTTGCTCTTTCTATCATGGGTTTTAAAAGTACTTTTAAAATTTGATCCAATAAATTTGAATGAGTCTTATGGGTTTGCTCGTATGTGTTCTCTCGCATTTTCTTAAATCTATGAGTTTTAGATTCAATTGGAACATTTCTCTCTCTCTCTCTAGAGTCTCTTTCCTCTCCTTTCTAGGTAAGATTAGAATTAGAATTAAAATTGTTAGAACTGAATTGATCCGGTTTGAACATCGATTAATTAATGGATCAAATATTAAAATAAAATCATTCACTGGTAATCCCCAGCATCTCAAATGTCCTATGGCCACCATTTAAAGCTACACGATCTAACCTCGTCTAATTGGCTTATCAACCATCTACTATCTTGACCTCCCCTTATCCACTCTCTCTTCCAACCCTTTCTTTCATTATTTTTCATCTTACTTCATTCATTTCGAACTTACTTTTCTTGTATATCAAATACAGCAATGGCAACAACAGCCTCAGCCACACTGACTCCTCCCACCTTGGCTGCCGCCACCGTCGGTAGTCCCCGGAGAAGAAGTGCAGTCAACGTGAGTTACATCACAGGGTTGAATTCCTTTGGTGGGCTAAAAGCTCACAACAACTTGGTCTCACTAGGCCAACCGGTGTGCATCGAGCAATTGTTTGCAAATGTCATGAACTCCCTCAAAGCTCCGTCGAGGGGGAACGGTAGAGGCGGCGGCGCCTTGTCTTCAACATGCAACGCGGTGGGTGAGATATTCAGGATTGCAGCAATCATGAATGGACTTGTTCTGGTTGGTGTTGCTGTGGGGTTCGTTCTTCTTCCAATTGAAGCATCTCTGGAAGAGTCTGAGTGAGAATTTAAGGAACTTTGTTTTTTTATTGCTGCACGAATATCTACTTTTTATTTGCAGCAAAGATAAAGTGGTTGGTGTTTGAACTTGGGACCCTAGTAATAACAGTCTTTCCTTTAATTATTGAGATAACTTGATTCATGCTTAATTTCAATATTTAATATTAAGCTTATTATCATGATTATGAGCCATGGTGGATTAAAAGAGGTTTTCATAAATGACTACAAAAAAATTAGAAATCTAAGATAGGGACTAAATTAGAAGAATTGTAAAGTATGAGAGGCAAATGAGTAATTTTCTAAAATAAGAAAAAAAAACCCAAAAGTTCACTTCTAAATATTAGTTATAGATTAAATTGAGATAAAACTAGATGATGAGGAATAAATTTATTTATTTTATTCTAAAAAATATGGAAAAAGAAAAAGACTAAATTATAACATGCTTCAAATTAATGTAACACATGATATTATAAGGTTTTTCTTCCTTTGGTGTTTTGAAGAAGAAAATCAAAGCAATTGAGTAAGAATTTGAAGAAAGTTACTAGAGATAAAAAGAATTCATGTATTTATATTAGTCATGTATGTAAAGTAAGGGGCTGTTTGTTTGCCTCTTAATGAAATCATTCAGCGCTGATTGCTGAACCATTAAGCATTCAGTGCTTTTGTTTCACACATCTGAATGATTCAGTGCTGATTAATTCAGCAAAACAGTGCTGAATGATTCAGCACAGAAGTACATTCTGAATGATTCTGAGCCATTATCAAACAACATGTCACATTCAGAGCTAATTCATATAGCCTTGAATCATTCAGCGCTTAATCATTCTGAAGTAAACAACCCCAATGTTATTATTAAGCTGTAAGGTTTCTTTTAAAATAGTCGGTGATTATAAGGTAGTCTTTATTTAGAATCTTTATTAATCATTAACAACGCGTATATATCTTGTAGATGCAACTGTTTGATACCAAAAAATTTTATTCGTGTCAACACACATTTTTCGTCCTACTAGGATTCAAACTCCTAAAAATAGATAGAATTTTAGGATTCAAACTCCTAAAGATATGATAGAATTTTGCTAGGATTCAAAAAATAGGATAGAATTTTATGATTTAAACTCCTAAAGATAGGATCCACAAGCACTATAAATAGCCATTGTAACTCACCATTGTAAGACACGATTTACACAAAACATAGAGGAAAGCACGAGAAGATACAAAGGCAAAACTATTGTAAACGATTCGAAAAATAAATAAAAGGTAGTATCTTTTTTACTTTTGATTTGGTCTCTTACATTTACGTTTTAATTATTATTATTTTATTTATTTAACTTTATTTATAAGCACATTTCCCTTGTTACTCACTTTATTTAATTGTTTTGTTATTTTTTTTTCATGTAATATTTTTTTACATTTTATATATTTTCTTTTTTACTTTAGTATATATTTTTATTTTTTTTAGATTATATATATAAAAATATTATTTTTTATTATCAGTTTTATTAATTTATATATATATATTTACTTTTTTTATTTTTTTATTTTATATATATATTATTTTTACTTTTTTATTATTATTTTATTTATTTGTTTTATTTCTATATTTTTTCTTTTTCTTCTTTTTCTTTATTTTTTATATTTATTTTACTTACTATTTTATCTTTATTTTCTTTATCTTATCTTTTATTTAATTTGTTTTCTCTTTATTTTAATTTAATTTATTTATTTCTTACCTTTTTATCTATTACCTTTTTATCTAACATGGTTTTTTGACCTTCTTAAGGCCACACCTTTAAAACTATCTAAGGTAAGTAATTGTGATCGTATTTTTACCTTTTAATTTTAAATTACAATTTTCTTAATTTAAGACAACCGGCAAATTACGTAGTACCGAAAGGGCGGTTCAAGGGTGCTAATCCTTCCTTGACCGTAATCGACTCCCGAATCCGACATATCTTTGGTAAGACGCAGATCAGGTAAGATATAAGGTATCCGATTAACCTATTTATTTTTTAAATAAATAATCGGTGGCGACTCCAATCACATTTTTCAAGTTGAAGCCCAATTCCGGGGCCCAACCGAAAGACGGTTACGACACCTAAACTTAGGAAATTATCTAGTTAAACTCCTATCAGTTTCTGCATATAGATGATTCTCCATCTCGGTTTCTTCTCTGATAACCCCTGTTTTCTCACTTCTCATCCCCTCTATTAGTTACTTCTCACTACATTGCTTCATCAGTTACTGCGAATAGCCATCTGTAATTATTTTAGCCATGTTTTTTCTGCTTCCGAGTCTCGTAACGCCTAATGTACTCAAATATGTATTCTTTTGCACTGACAGTCGCACAATATTATCATGCATACTTTCCACTTATGCATGCCTTTGATTATAAGATACGACCAGTCATTGTATTTTATTTGTTTACTTCATAAAAAGTATTTTATTTCTATTGTGTTTATTTTGATAGTCTCTGCCTGCCACTGAACTGAGGTGTGTATTTGTAATGCATCTGTTCATAATAGCATAACTTCAGGAATTTGTTTCCAGGGGCTGGATCTGTTTTGGTTCATATTTTAGACAACTTATATGGTAAATTTAGTAGTCAATGTTTTGTACTCTTTTGTCAAATTATTCCTTTTTATTACTATTGAATTTGGTCTTCAAAACTTTATTAAAAAGTCAGTTTTTTATGATAATATTAACCAAAACATTAAATTTTACCTCGAATTTAACAGATTTAAACTTGATTAATATCATAATTCTACAGTTATGGACAGCATGAACGGAACTCTTATCTGTAACTGAGCATGGATGGATCACAAAGTAGAAATGTGCATAAAAACTCATGAAACTCAAAACTTTGATTCTACAGGAAATACGAAACTCTAAACTCGAAACTCCTAGGAACCACAGAAATGAGGTAAGGTACACACTTGAGGTCACAAGCAAATGTTTTATTATTAAATTGAATCAGAGGCAGACAATGAAGGAAACTCAACCACTACAGGATAAGGGTACCTCCCCTCTGAAAATGTGGTTGCATATGGTTTTACAAAAAGTGAACCATCATTAAAAATAGTACAACTTATGGTTGAAAATTTATCTTACCTCACCACAGGGTATGCTTGAATCTTGATATATGGCCACAAGAAAATCGAGTTTTCTAAAACAAAACGAGCCAGAGGTGCTATTTCAGCGTGCATATCAAAAGCTAAAAAGATAAACATAAAGGGAGGATAAAATGCAAAACCAGATAACGTAATCAGATAACAAAAATCAATTAATAGAATCAACATGAAGCAGCCCAAACTAAAGAAGCACGTTCTCTACCATCTTGCATGGATAGGAACTCAAAGAGCAGACTGACAGTAGCATATGGATATAACTTGAGTTTCAAGCAGTAAACATACAGGAGGAGTGCATATTATATTGAAGCTAAAATTTCCATATCAGTAGAAAGGATTACGATATTCTTCCTTAACCATTTACTCAATCATTAGGTGGTATTCAACTACTAGAATACAGACATGGATAATGGAAAACTATTTCCTCCCATCAAACAAAACAAGGGATGCAACTGAATCTAAACAATTGAGGACTACCGTAAAAGTTTACGTACACACCTCAAATAAGACGAGCACAATTTACAAATGATGCTATCAGTCCGAAGGCCAAGTTCAAACTCAAGTTCATCATCCTCTTCAAACAGCTTCAAAAGACGGGCATATTGTTCATCTCGTTTCTTCTTTTGCCACAACTTGAAAAGGAAAAATGAAATCAACCCTACTGCAACAAGCCCACACAATATGATGACTATTATGACCGCGGTACTACTGTTTGTTTTTGAGCTGTTGTCTGAAGCTTTGGAGTCGTCAGAAAAACCTGAAAAAATGAAACAATTCGAAGCAAATTGTTTAACATATTCAATATGAACAATCTTTACTTTTAATGTCCATTACAGCAACTTAACCAGTATCCCAATAAAATTCAGCCGCAGAAAGGTTCAATGAAGACTAAAAAGCAAATACAACAATAATAAAGAATAAGGAACCCTTACGCTTATGAAGTATGCAAGAAACCTACAAGGATATACTTCAAAACACAATAGTTTCATGTCGACTCCTTGCAATCTAATACCATAATTTCCCAAGATTTCATGGAAACTGGATCAAGAGGGTTAAATTTGAACTTTGAAGCAAAAATTTACCTTAATCATGATATTTGTACGCTACTTAGAAGATTTATTATAAAGTTTGAGATTCACAAAATCAGGTAAGAACTCATAATCACATTACATATATATTCAATCTTCGAAGTAAAAAAATCAACATCTTATTAGTAAAATTTCTCCTAGAAAAATTCAAAAAGAGAAACATCTCAATTTATAGAATTTAATTAAAATAAAAAAAAAATCTTTCACAAATCTAACGAAAAGATGGGTACAAAATGCTTTAATCTTCACGTTCATTCTATGTTAATTTCCTTGAAGCCAAACAGATAATACTAAGCAATACCAAAAAGAATCAACACATAAAATCTTCCAATCTCGATTCTCGAACACGTAACCTGAACGAATTGACAATGCAAATAAACTTGATTTTCACGCAATCAATGATTCGAATGAGGACCAAAATAGAATGATATTTTAATTAGGGAATATAAAATTCTTTCAAACAACTGCAAAGAAACAAAAGCGAGCAAAGAGAAGCGATCTAGAAAGAAACCTGGAGTGAATTGTAGATAGACGGAAGCGAAAATCAGTAGGAAACGAACCGGTCTACTCCTCGAAATTTCAGCCATTCTCTCAATCTCTCTTTCCCGCGGCAGAGAAAGAGGAATCGGTTTTTTCCTCGACCGACAATTTGCCAGGCCATATATATATATATTATTAAAATGCAGGCTAAACTATACTTTTAGTACCTCAACTATCATTTTTGTTTCATTTTAGTCATCAAACTATTATTTTTTTTAAACCACAGCTAATGTTTCATATTGATTTTATTTTGGTCACCCGCTATTAAAATATTAACAGAACTACATACTGGGATTTGAAATTATATTTTCATGATGCCTAATGGCATCATTGTTTCTTTCAAGCACTAACACGATAACATAATGTAAATGAATAATCAATTTAAAAATAAAACTCAAACGACACTTCTGAAAACATATTTTATCATATCACAGTTAACAGATTAACATCTAGCTCAGACGGCCACCAAAATTTTAATAGAAAATAATGAGTTTGAAATATATGAATAATCAGATGATCATTTTATAACATTTAATAATTGAGAGGCTCAACAAATAATTTCTTATAATAAAAAATTTATTTTATAACTTTTAATAATTAAGAAACTCTACGAAATAACGTCATATAATATTGCTAAAACTAAAATGTTATTGTATTTAATACGTTCAAATCTTGTTGAAACTGCATTAAAAAAATCTTGCTAAACTTTTTATTTATTAAATAAAATCAAAATCTTGTTAAACTCGTCTTTTATTAAATAAAATCAAATTAATAACTAAAATGTATTTAGACTACACTTCTATATAATTAAATTTAAGGGTAAAGTACACAAATGGTCCTCGATTAATAGGGTATTATTTTATTAAGTCCCTCAACTATTAAAAGTTATAAAATGATCCTCTAACCATAGAATATTACTTTATTAAGTCCCTCAACTATTAAAAATTATAAAATGATCACCCGACTATTCATTATATTCCAAATTCACCATTTTTTGTTAAAAATATTGATTGTTGTCTAAGTTGGACGTTAACATGATGATTGAGATATGATAGCCATTTTAGATTCAAAGATTAGATCTTTATCATATCGCATTCAGTAGATTAACGTTCAGCTCAAAATATCGTCAATTTTTTAAGGAGAAATGACAAGTTTGGAACATAATGAATAGTCATGTGACTATTTTGTAACTTTTAACAGTCAAGAGACTTAACAAAATAACACTCTATAGTTAGAGGATAATTTTGTAACTTTTAAAAGTAAAATGACTTAATAAAGTAATATCCTATAGTCGAGAGACCATTTATGTACTTTACCCTAATTTAAACTAAAATCAAATTAATAACTAAAAAGTATTAATACATATTATTTGTATACGTTAGGATTCAAATTTAGGATATTAAACAAGTTACTAATAATTTTCTTATTACAGGATTTTTTACATTTATAATAATGGTAGTTAACCATGATACTATTTTTCGTAGAAACTACGTCGTATTAAGTTTTCCTTTTACCTATTCTAAACCATAACTAATTATTTATTAAAAGATAATTCCGATTTCACTATTACCCCTAACAGCTACCGCCAATACGCAGAACTGTTTAGGGCCTTTTCGTCATATTGCCCACTAAATCATTATCAACGCGCAACGTGAGCGGTATATTTCACACCAATTCCAAGTTCTAAACAAAGACGTAAACGGAAAAAATGGCGAGGAGACCGGACGACGAATACGATTATTTGTTTAAGGTTGTATTAATCGGCGATTCCGGTGTAGGAAAATCTAACTTGCTTTCCCGATTTACTCGGAACGAGTTTTGCTTAGAATCTAAATCTACTATCGGAGTCGAATTCGCCACTCGCACTCTCCAAGTAACAATACTCTCTCTCTTCTTCATTTTTTTAATATTTAATTAGTTGTATTTTTCTAATGAAGTATAGATTTGATTTCTTTTGGTGAGTTGTTTCCAGTCCTTATCATGCAGTAGATCTGATTTGTTGCTTCTTTAACCTCTCTTTCCTGTTCGAATTTCTCTTAATTCTTTTGTTTGGATTTCAAAAATAGTGTAAATCGAGTGATATCAATGTAAGATTTTTTTATCATTTCTTAAATCTATGGATTTGTGGATGTTTATTTAGTAGTGAATTTGATAAATTCATGCTTTTTGGACTTTCCGAATATTCGAATTTACTGTACATATATGCACTTCGTCCTTACAGTTTATATGGCAAATTAAATCCAAAATTTTGAGTTCTTGTTCACGACATAGTTCTAAATTACGGATGCAGAGTCGTGGTTGCGGATGACGTGATTTGTTTCTTAAAGATAACTATTTTCTAAATTGCGGCTGCGGTGTCGCGACGACCTTGAAAATTGTTACGATGTGGCCGTTACATTGCGGCCGTAATTTAGTACTATGGTTCACGAACATAACATGAATAAATGAAGTTGGTTAAATCTCATTGTTCTGGTTTGATCATCTTTAGTGGGTTCTCTTTGTATTTTGATTTTATGATTGAAATTCAGTACCAGATAATCTTCCTATATTAGAAAAATATGTCTGAAAACATAAATTTAAAGATTCGGATTTCAATTTCGTATGCTATATTTATTGCTAGAACGGAATTCATACATTCTATATAATTTAGTTAAAGATTCAGTATTATTATTGTGATATCATGAATTTCGAATTCACAAATATGTATAGGTATTTCAAGTTCATTACTGAATAAGCATCACAGATCCATAAATTTGAGAAATAGGTGTTGTGATTGGCTAGTTTATTGATAGGTTATCACCTCAAGTTAGGAGATGATCATGATCTTCTTTTTTGCAATAGAAATGCATGATAAAGTGATAGATCTCTGACGATGCTAATCCGCATTTTGATCTGAAAAAGTATAAGATCGAAGGGTATTCTTTCAGTTACTAGAACAGGTTGAACGTTTGAACGATATGTTTTCAGAATTGAGTTGGTAGTAATTTTCCATTTGAAAGGGTCTAATCTTATTGTGTAGTGGTAAAGTCTTGCGTTGTTGCTTTCAAGTCTTGCTTGACATTAGGTCCAAGTTTCAACCATCTTAAAACTGATTGAAGGTAAATAAGTTTAGATTTTAGTCCTATTTATCTCATTTGGAAACGATACGAAAATGCATGTGTCGATATGTCTTTCTTTTTTGCTCTTTTCTCCTGCATGTTAGCTATAAGCAATACAGTCATGCCCCGAGTGTGATAAGGTAGATGTTTCTAATATATCTATCTTTTGTCAGGTTGAGGGAAGAAATGTGAAAGCGCAAATATGGGACACTGCCGGTCAGGAACGGTACAGAGCAATAACCAGTGCTTACTACAGGGGTGCACTTGGAGCTCTTCTGGTCTATGATGTTACGAAGCCGACAACATTCGAAAATGTAAGCCGATGGCTGAAGGAACTCAGGGACCATGCAGATTCTAATATAGTGATTATGTTGATCGGGAACAAGACTGATTTAAAGCATCTCCGAGCAGTTGCAACGGAGGATGGTCAAAGCTTTGCAGAGAAAGAGGGACTTTCCTTCATCGAGACATCAGCACTGGAAGCAACAAATGTTGAGAAGGCTTTCCAGACCATTCTCTCTGAAATATACCGCATAACTAGTAAGAAATCACTTTCTTCAGATGAACCGACACCTGCAAGTATCAAAGAAGGGAAGACCATTGACGTCGGAACTTCGGATGTCAACGCGAAAAAGGCTTGCTGCACATCATCCTGAACATGATCTTTTTATTCACTGCAATCCTCATCTCTTTTTGGGTATTAAATTTGTGCTTATCGTCCAATACTATCTATTGTGATTATTACAAACATCCGAACCATTCATGCTCTTGTATCATTTCAAGTTATTGATGATTTTGCTATGATGGCATTTCTACAATTTTTGTAAAACCCAAACCCAATTTTTCTAAAATTTCAAATTCGCTTTTTGTTTTCATTAAATTTAAATATTAATATTCTAATTCTAATTGATTAAATTGTTCATTGAGTAACTTTAGCAATAAAAGGGAGTATTGTTTTTATTTGAGGTATTAGGTTTGAGCGCGAAATGCGTTGTCATCTCAATGGTTAAAAAAAATTATATTTCTTTTTCATACCAAATTATGAAATATATCATCTCAAAATTTTACTCTTTCTAAGAACAAGCCAAGTGAACTAATTAGTAATTACCGGTTAATCTAACAGAACGAGACATAAAATCATTCAAGTGAAATCAATCATGCAAATCTTGACGTTTGAACAGAAAAAAAACCCGAATTAAAGAAAATTATCTTATAATAAGAAACAAATTATTAACAAGCATCACAACTTGTACTTACAGCATAGGGTTCAAGCAGGTAAAAGTTTTAGTTTCTGAAAGGTTGATTTGACATACAACATGTTTACGGTATCTAAAACGGAGTTAGATCGTTACATGGTTGACTAGCCACAGCACTTGTTCTTCTCAATCGGCTGTCCCTTCATTTCAACGGCTCCGGTTGGCTTGTTCACAGCTGGCTGGTTACCCATCCTGCAAAGATTTTGACAAGAATCCATATTGGTAAAGTTCATTAAAAATATGTGAAAAATATATATAAATAAAAGGTGGAGACTTGGACAAGAACGAAAATGATTTCTCGGACAATCTAGGCCGGTGAACTCCAGCATAAACAAGCAGTGCTGCAGACTAATGCATCGAATCCAAGAGCTAAGTGCTCTGAAGTGCAGTGAAGAACTATTGGTCAGTGACGGTGGTGATACTTACTAATAAAATAATAAACAATAATCAAGTACTCGCAAACAGGTAAATAAATCATAGCATTTTCATATGGAAGAGTTGAAGTCCGCCTTACTTCTTGATTTCACCGGCCATGGTTTACAGATCAGTCGGGTTCAGTTTCTTACTATTATCCCATGAGCTCCTCGGTAATAACTGCTCGTGATAGTCCGAAACCTATCCTGTCCAGCAGTGTCCCACTAAACAAAGAAAGAAGAGTAAAGTATCACATGTTAATAAAGATCCAACTGAAAAGGGATGGGGGGAAGATTTTTTTAGGAGAATGATGCATGGCGCTTCCTTGCTCATTTTTCCAACACTAAACAGCCATGCTCAACTTCCAGGGAAAATGAAATTGGATTAACAAATTGAACCCAGGCTATAAACACCAACACCATCTCATTGACCACAACTAAAATTCTTGCATCAGTAACACAATTTAACTCTCTTTTCTGGTGCATCAAAACCCAGGTTAGTTTAGCTATGCAATCATCACTTCCTATTAAAATCATAAGTAAAGACAAACATATGTAATGGCCCCTATCCACGTAAGAATCATCCTGGAAAGATTAAAGAGGGAAAACAACACTTAAAGTCCTTAGCCCCTAATTACACTTAGGGTGGGTTTGGTTCACGGAATGTAAGATTACTAGTAGGAATAAAAGATTACCAGAGAATAGGATTACTGGGAATGTTGTATTTTGTGTTTGGTTGGTTTAGCATGAATGTAAGATTACCGTGTTTGGTTAAAGAAATAAAAGATTATTGGAATGTATATTTGACCAAATTGTCCTTATTATATATTTGTATACTATTACAAATTGTAAAATATTTATATATTTTCTTTAAAAAATTATATAAAAAAATTAAATTCATAATATTTATATAATTTTTTTACAAAATTAAAAATATAAAAAAGGTTTAATGAAAGGGTAAAAAAAATTTTAACCCCTGAACTTCATATAAAATTTTAAGTATAGATTTTTTTTGTAAATCTAAAATAATTTCAGGATAAATTTGTAATTTAACCTTCATAGAATTTTTATTATTCAATGACAGGAGAAGGATATTTTTGGAAAAAAATAAAAATTTAAGGGCATTTTAGTCCAAAACGCCGGTAATATTACAATACCTAAGGGAATGGAGGTAATGACATTCCCGGTAATATACCCAAAAAAATCTACTATTGGTAATAAAACATTACCGGAAATGAGATTCCCAGTCAACCAAACATGGAAATGTGGGATTCCCATCCCATTAAGATCACTAACCAAACACCCCCTTAAGATCATGTATAAAGTTATGCTTATATAAATTGAAATCATATAAAAAGAACATCATTTATAAAGTTAAGCTTATATTGATTAAGTCGCTCACATGTATATACATATATTCAAACAATAGTTTGTACAATCATTTCAAAAAGTGACCAACCATAAGTTTGACAGAAAATGTATATTCATCAGTAGGAAAGCATTTCCCAAATGTTCCAAAAAAATTACATCAGATGACATAATCCAGAAAATATGATTGCCACAAAATGCTAGATCTTGTTGCATCACAAAAAAAAATGTAGAGGTCGTCTTCGTTTCCACCTAGGCCCCTTTGAAGTTTCATTTTTGTGTTGGAGGTTGCGTGGTAGAGCTGTGTTGTAAGGCATTATCAACTTCACTGTCTTGACTGAGCTCTGTGTGTTGTGACTCCCTTGATGGTGCTGAGTTGGACCTGTTGGATTGGACCATATTGCTCTCCTAACCTACAAGTGGAAATATCCATCCATTATACCCATGTCAAATTATTTAACCATGCAATTATATGCAGTAAATAAGATCACCTAATACTTACAGGTAGTTTGACAATTTTCTTTGCTGTTATAGGTTGGGTGGACGTCTGTTGAGAAGGCATCATCCACTTGACTGTGTTAACTGAGCCTTGTGTGTTCTGGTTCTGATTTGGACCTGTTGCATTACTATTTTTTACAACTCTATTTGATGGTACAACGGGTGTGTTGCCATCAATTTTCCTCATACATTACCTCTTATTGTGACCTATATTTTTCAAATTTTGTGCATTTCATTGTGATTTCCTTCTACTAATTCTTTCAGTTGCTATTACTGATTCATCAAACTCATTTCTTCTATTCTTTTGAGGTCTCCAACAGGTCTTGTAATTATATGGGGTAAGATTGGTTCACTGTTATTTTATTCATCCTATCGTTTTGGGCCTCTAATTGGTCTGACCGTGTTAGCATATATTCTCAATTGAGTTCTTAAGAGTAGTAGCCGCTAACATAAGATTCAAGCCTTTCTTTGTTCAGCATGATAACATATGCATCATGTATACAAGGAATTCCTGCAAATATAGAATAAACATTAGTAAATATAAATTGATATAAACAAGTAAATGCATTATACCTGTAAAATCCTACTTTTTACAATTACATGAATGAGATTATAAGTCTACAACATGTTGATCTTGAAATCCAACAGATACCTCAAACTTATGTCCACCTGTATGCTTAGGCCAACATCTGACATCATACACATTACAATGTGATAATAGCATTAAAGCTAACATTATAGTTAACATTAAATAGTAAGCACATTAAACCCATTATACTACACAATAAGCATTCAATTACCTTATAAATCCCACAATAGCATTGTCAAGTTTCATTTGAATTTTGGGTCAAATTGGACCAATAATCCTTTCAGCTTGCTCTTGTGCGTTTGGTTCACGGAATATAAGATTACCAGGGAATAAGATTACTGGGAATGTTGTATTTTGTGTTTGGTTGGTTTAGCAGGAATGTAAGATTACCATGTTTGGTTAAAGTAATAAAATATTATTGGAATGTATATTTGATCAAATTGTCCTTATTATATATTTGTTTTTTTAACAAGTTGAAAAATATTTATATATTTTCTTTAAAAAATTTAAATTCATAAAATTTATATAATTTTTTTACAAAATTGAAAATATAAAAAGGTTTAATGAAAGGGTAAAATTTTATTTTAACACCTGAACTTCATATAAAATTTTAATTATAGACATTTTTTATAAATATAAAATAATTTAAGGATAAATTTGTAATTTAACCTTCATATAATTTTTATTATTCAATGACAGAATAATGATATTTTTGAAAGAAAAAAATTAAGGGCAATTTAGTCCAAAACGCCGATAATCCAACAATACCTAAGGAAAGGGAGGTAATGACATTCCCGGTAATATATCTCAAAAAATCCACTATTGGTAATCTTACATTACCGGGAATGTGATTCCCGGGCTAACCAAACGGGGGAATGTGATTCCCGGGCTAACAAAACGGGGGAATGTGGATTTCATTCCCATGAGAATCCCACATTCCCCCATCCAAACACCCCCTTAGAGTGCGTTTGGTTCACGGAATATAAGATTACCAGTGGGAATAAAAGATTACCAGGGAATAGGATTACTGTGAATATTGTATTTTGTGTTTGGTTGGTTTAGCAGGAATGTAAGATTACCGTGTTTGGTTAAAGGAATAAAATATTATTAGAATGTATATTTGACCAAGTTGTCCTTATTATATATTTGTTTTTTTAACAAATTGGAAAATATTTATATATTTTCTTTAAAAAATTTAAATTCATAAAATTTATATAATTTTTTTTACAAAATTGAAAATATAAAAAATGTTTAATGAAAGGGTAAAATTTTATTTTAACCCCTGAACTTCATATAAAATTTTAATTATAGATTTTTTTTTGTAAATCTAAAATAGTTTAAGGATAAATTTATAATTTAATATTCGTATAATTTTTATTATTCAATGACAGAATAAAGATTTTTTTGAAAGAATTTTTTTAAGGGCATTTTAGTCCAAAACACCGGTAATCCAACAATACCTAAGGAAATGAAGGTAATAAGATTCACGGTAATATACCTCAAAAAATCCACTATTGGTAATCTTACATTACCCGAATGGGATTCCCGGGCTAACCAAACGGGGGAATGTGGATTTCATTCCCATGGGAATCCCATATTCCCCCATCCAAACACCCCTTAGTAGCAGATCTTTGCATTATCTTTGATATAATCATCTCCATCATTGTCAAAATTGGATGTCCCTTGCTTCTAAAATTGGACCAATTAATTGGGAGCAAGTTAGAAATTAAAAAAACAGTTAAAAAATAGGACATTAAACCAATTATTTTACCTTGCTAAAGCTCTCAGAAAAGTTGTTGAAGAGCATATCAGACTTGCACCTTGTTGAGAAATGTGACTTCGAGCATTGTGTAGGGTCTTTATTTTTCAACCAATAAAATACATCTCATGACATTGACCTCGTTTCATTTATTGCATCAGTGAATTCTTTCATGTAAAATGTCCTTACAGCCTTCCATAACACATCTTTCAATGTGTTTCCTTTGTTGCTCTCCAACATATGTCTTAATCTACTATCTTTGAGATTCAATTTTGAGGCCCATACCATCCATGGGCAATCAGTCTTCACACAACATGAATTCTTATATGATCATTTACTTTAAATGTCACATTGTACCTATTATTTACTCCATATTGTCTCACAACTTCTTTAAAGATTTCCCGATTAGGAAATAACATTTCTTTTTTAAACTTGGGATTTTGTAAGTCAATCTCACTGTTGAACTCAGGCTACTTTCTTCTATAACCCTCGGTTTCTGAGTCATATGCACTGTACAGTAACTCTGAAATCTCATTTGCACTTTTTAGGCTCTTACCATCATTTCTTATAGTAAATAAAATTGTTCTTTCTTTTTCTAGTCTCAAGAGTAACATTTACAAATTCTCTATCTTTTACAATGGATAAGATAGAACCAAAACCCATTTTACAAAAGGATAAATAAATGTAAACAATAAAACCTTCAAAAGGTAGGTGTTTACAAATTAAGCTCACAAAAACACTCTATGTACAAGAGAAAAAGAAAAAGAAAATTGAAAGAGTTTTTCTCTTGATGGGTATTGCTTGGATAGGTGTTGTAACCTTCTTCAACTGTCGCAACTTGATTTTATACGTTGGAATGAGTTACTAACTGTTTCTAGTCGTTGGGATGTTTTGGAGCCATTGGAAGCCTTAATTTTGATCATTTAATGCTCATATGCAACTTTGGTATCGATACCGAGAAGTTGGTATCGAGACCGAGCATGAAAAATATTCAAAATTATAGTCGTTGAAGCTTTGGTATCGATACTATTTGAAGGAGTATCGATACTCACCTTCATGGTATCGATACCAAAAAAACCTTCTAGAATTTCGATTGCGAGACTGGCATGCTAGTCTCGAGACCGGAAATAATTTTTGGTTAATTTCAAGTGTTTTGAGCTTTAAACAATATTTAAAAGTTTGACAAAATTAGAAAACATTTAAAACATATTTTTTCAAATTAATTTGGACTTTGAATTATTTTTGAATCATTTGAGTAAATTCAATTAAGTTCAAAAATATTTTGCCCTTATTTGTTATATCAAAATATAGGTTCAAAAATCTCCCCTTTTTTACATAACAAAACATTTGAAAAGTAGTTTCAGCAAAAGCTCCACCTTATTAAAACAAGGGTTGAATAGAAGAATTGATATGGAAAATATTTAAGCTCCTCATATTTCATTCTTGAAATTGAATTTTTCAAACCAATATTTTCCCCCTTTTTATTATATAAAAAATAATCCAAACATTTAGGTTCAAAAATAAAAATGGAGAGCGGGTAGAAATTTTGACATGAAAACCATTTGAAAAATCAAAAGCTCCATTCAATAAATGCATTTAAAAAAAAATTAATTTTAAAAGCTTGACATTTAAAAACTATTGAATTTCAACAAAGGTGAGCAAACAACTTAGTAACACATGAAATTCAATAAATCCAAATCTATACTACATTATGCAATATTAACATTAGACATTCAAGTTCATATGCATAAAGTTATTCGAAATTGTTATTCATTTGAAAAATTGATATCAATTGTTACATAGACATCATTTACAATAAAGCCACATGCATAAACATTTAAATTTAAGGTCAAAAATAAAATTTTGTAAAAAAAAAAACATTAAAAGCAAATTTGACCAAAAACATTATGATGAACTGAAATTTGATAAAAATCATTGAAACTTTAAAATGTTCACCATAACACATTTTAACATACATGAGATGAAAAACAACAAACAATCAATTATGCACAAAACTCACGCATGCATAAAACAAAATAGGCAACCAATTATGCAAAATAAAAAGATTTAAGTTTAGAGGTCACATATTCCTCATTTTGTGTGGTTAGAGATTTGAATTTCTTCACTTTTGTCACTATTGCTCCCACGCACCTACAAAAGGCATTTATATAGCTTTTGATATCCAAATTGTCTAATTTTACTTGGGAACTCATATTTGTCTAATTTTAAAATGTTTTCTAATCTTTAAAGGACAAGCATGTTCCATATGACCATGAAAATGACAATGTGAGCATTTTTCCATTTTTAAACATGATGATTATTTTGAGAAATTATTTCTTTTTCTTTTGTTAAGCATTCAAGCTTAAATTTTAAATCAAGATTTTCTTTTTCTAAATCATTGATTTTGAATTTTGAAACCTCAATATCATTTTTCAAAATTTCATTTTGTTTTTCAAATTCTAGTTTTGCTTTCAAAAGAAAATCATTTTCAACTTTAAATTTTGAAATTAATTTCTTATATTTGGAATTCATGGTTTCAAATTCCAAATACAATTCATCATAGGCATCTTGTAACTCTTTAAATGAATAAGAATTTAAATCACAAGAGTTAGAAGTTACCCTTGAATCTTCTTCAATGGCCATAAGACATAGGTTGGAAACTTCATCTTCATCATTGGAGTATTCTTAATCACTCCAAGCCGCCACAAATGTCTTCTTTTTTCTTGATCCCTTCTTCTTTATGAGGGGATATTTGTATTTGACATGTCTCGTTCTTTGGCACTCAAAGCACACCACATGAGCCTTCCTCTTGCTCGATTCATGCTTCACTTCTTTTCTTTTGGAAGAAATGAATCTAATGAATCTTTTGAAGAGCTTGGTCATCTCTTCATCTTTATCCACCTCTTCACTTGAGTCTTGATTACTCCCATTGGTGGATTTGAAGGCAATTTTCACCTCCTTCTTTTTCTTCTTTTGAAGTTTCACCTCATGAGTGAGTAGAGAACCGATAAGCTCATCGAGGGTGTACGACTCTAAGCCTTGGCTTCTTCGATGGTAGTTACTTTGCCTTCCCATGATGTAGGCAATGAGGCAAGCATCTTTCTCACTATTTTTTATTGGGAACCTTCCCAAAGTTTTGTTGATGCTTTAAGTGAACCGATTATATCTTTATCGGGCTTCACCTTGAAGTTCTCATAGTTGAGAATGAGAATGTCAATCTTGGATTTCTTTACTTGGTTTGTTCTTTCATGGGTCAACTCCAACTTGTCCCAAATCTCTTTAGCATTAGAGCATGAGAATACTCTGCTATATTCGTCTAGCTAAGAGCACAAAAGAGGATGCGCATGGCTTTGACATTGAGTTAGGCAAGCTTTTTATATTCACTTGTCCACTCTGATCGATTTCTTTGAGGGGTGGGAGAACCATCAATGATGGCATCCCAAACTGCAAGGTCAGTGGCTTGGATGAACAACATCATCCTATTCTTCCAATAGGAGTAATTTGCTCTATTGAAGTAAAGAGACCTATGGATGGAGTGAGAGTCTTCAAGGTAGTAAGCATCGGATGTGGAAGTCATTTTCTTAGTTGTGTCGGAAATCGATAGAGAGCCTTCAAGGATCTTCACAAGGTTGTTAGATCGTCGATATGTGACCCGTTCTGATTATTGATTAACCGAAATATCCAAGAGAGGGGATTGGCTTTTTGAAAAATTGCGAATTAAGGAGAAATGATAAGAAAAAATGCATAATGATTTATAATGGTTCAACTTCCTCAATGAAATCTACATTCACTACCTTAGCTTCTCACTAAGGATTTCTAACAAATTCACTAATATGTTCTTTCTTTTTCTAGGCTCAAGACTAACGTTTACAACTTCCCTATCTTTTACAATGACTTAGATAGAACCAAAACTCTTTTTACAAAAGGATAAAGAAATGTAAACAAGAAAACCTCCAAAAGACGTGTGTTTACAAATTAAGCTCACAAAATCACTCTACATACAATAGAAAAGGAAAAATAAGATTGAAAGAGCTTTTCTCTTGATGTGGATTGCTTGGATAGGTGTTGTAACATTCTCCAAGTGTCCTCAACTTGATTTTATATGTTGGAATGAGTTACTAGTCGTTGGGAATGTTTTGGAGCCGTTAGAAACCTTGATTTTGAGCATTAAATGCTCACCTGCAACTTTGGTATCTATACCAGGAATTTAGTATCGAGACCGATCATGAAAACATTCAAAATTATAGTCGTTGAAGCCTCAATATCGATACTATTTGAAGGGGTATCGATTCCACACCATGGTACCAATACCAGAAAAACATTTTGGAATTTCAGTCTCGAGATTGGAATGATGGTCTCGAGACAAACAATTTTTGCTAATTTCAAGTGTTTTGAGTTTTAAAACAATATTTAAAAGTTTGACAAAATTAGAAAACATTTAAAACATATTTTTCAAATTAATTTAGACTTTCAATTACTTTTGAATCATTTGAGTAAATTCAATTAAGTCCAAAAACATTTTTCTCTTATTTGTTATATCAAAATATAGATTCAACAACTTCTATAAACCCCAAATTCTTAATTCATAGAAGCCCTAAACAAAATTGAGAGGAATTTTGAAAAGCAATCTCTCGTGCTTTTGGGAAATAAGGATAAATCGTGATTTGGGTAATTTTATTTACCCTAATTTTTTATCATTTTTATCTGATGTGTCTTTTTTATCCATTTTTTAATTATTTTTATCGATTAAAAATTTGTCATGTAAGTCACGTCATAACGGCGTTACAAGCTTAACGGCAAAGTGAACAAGATAATCAAATATGTAAAGTTCATTAAGAAAATTGGTCAAATTGAAAGTTGGGTGAGGAAAATAGGAGAGAGAATATAGTTCAGTAAGGAACGCTGTATTTTATCATATTTTTTAATAAATTAATACCTATACTATATATATATATATATATATGACACTTTTATTACCGTTTTACTCATCTTCTTCATTATTTCTAGCTTAATAATATAAATTTTAAATATTTTTTTTAAAAATA